TTAAGGGATTGAGACTTGCCAAGGCAGCAAGAGTGGAGTACTTGAGGATTTATAGTGATTCACAACTTATAGTGAATCAAGTCAATGGTGACTTCATTGCAACAGAGCAGGTGATGGCTCAATATTTGTCTCTGACTATGCAATTTTTATAATCCTTCCAGGGATATGAGTTGAGCCAAGTAAGAAGGTCAGAGAACCTTAAAGCCGATGCCTTGGCAAAGCTAGCAAGCACAGGGCTAGGTGTGTCTGGAGTGGAAGTTTATATAGAGACTTTTTTCACCTAGTATAGAGATGGAAAATGCTTTGCCAACACAGGAGGAGCAAAGTTGGATAGATCCAATTCTCACTTTCCTTAAAAGTGGAATCTTACCAGAAGATGAAAAAGAAGGTAAAAGATTGCGAAGGAAAGCTGCTTGGTACACAATTTTTGATAGGCAACTTTATCATAGGTCCTATACACATCCTTTATTGAAGTGTTTAGGGCCTGTAGAAGCACAAGTAGTGTTGGAAGAGGTACACGAAGGACTTTGCTCGAGCCATATGGCGACAGATTCTCTAGCACGTAAAATCCTCCGCCAAGGCTATTTTTGGCCTACACTGAAAGTTGATGCTAAAGCATATGTCAAGAAGTGTGATAGATGTCAGAGATTTGCCCATGTCCAGCATCAACCTGCTAACCCTTTGCACATGATAGTAGCCCCATGGCCTTTTGCTCAATGAGGGATGGACATCCTTGGTCCTTTCCCCGAGGCTAAGGGAAGAAAAAAGTTCCTTATTGTGGCCATAGACTACTTTACTAAGTGGATTGAGGCAAAACCAATAGCTTGAATAACAGAACAAAAGGTAAAAGAGTTCGTCAAAAAACACATTATGTGTCGGTTTGGGATGCTGAGGGTTCTAGTTACAGATAATGGAACGAAATTTGCAAGTGAGGCCTTCAAAGATTTCTGCGAAACAGGAAAGATAAAGAGGAGGTTTTCGGTCAGAGCACAATTAGAGACAAAAGGTTTGAGTTTACAGCAAATTGAGCAGAGGTTTGCTTCTGTAGCTTATCTAGAGTCTAATGGACAGGCAAAGGCAGCAAATAAGGCTATTTTGGAGAGTTTAAAGAAGAAGGTAGGGTTTGCAAAAGGAACTTGGACAGAGGAGTTGCCATACACTTTATGGGCGTAGAGAACAACACATAAGACTCCAACAGGAGAAACTCCATTCAATTTAACATATGGTTCAGAAGCTGTGGTGCCGGTTGAAGTTAAGGTGCCAAATTACAGAACAAACTACTTTAATGCCAACTCCAATGAACAAGCTTTAAGGGAGAATCTGGATCTTTTGGACAAAGCTAGGGATCTGTGCCAAATCCATGTTGCCCATTACCATAGGAGAGTGGAGAAGTACTACAACAGTAAAGTTAGACCCAAGGACTTACACCAAGGAGACTGGGTCTTATGAAAGGCAGAGGTCACAGAGCACAATTCTCATGAAGGGAAGTTACGCCCTAGTTGGGAAGGACCATATTTGATCAAAAAGACTTGAGTAATGGAGCTTTTAAACTTGTTAAGCCGAGTGGAACTCCAATCCCAAGGGCTTGGAATGCAGTTCATCTGAAGAAGTATTATCAGTAATTTTTTCTTGTTTTAGCAAGGTTGAATAAATTTTGTGAATAAAA